AGATTATCGTGTTTGGGAAGTGCATATAAAAACCTATGTAATAACACACAGAATCAACTCCAGTGAACAGATATGGCAATCTGACATATGGCATGGATATGTGTTCTAAGCAGACAAAGCCATAGTCCAAGCAGACCTTCAGCTGCTACTTAGCAGAACACTGAGGTGCTGAATCACAGGTAAATTATGGTACAATTTTCTTCCTATCGTGTTTGGGAAGTGCATATAAAAACCTATGTAATAACACACAGAATCAACTCCAGTGAACAGATATGGCAATCTGACATATGGCATGGATATGTGTTCTAAGCAGACAAAGCCATAGTCCAAGCAGACCTTCAGCTGCTACTTAGCAGAACACTGAGGTGCTGAATCACAGGTAAATTATGGTACAATTTTCTTCCACTCACCTTTTTGAAGATGTTCATCCCCAGGTCTGTGGAGAGATCTGGAACTGCTGGTCTACGCAAGTTGGTCAGTGACACCTTGGAAAATGCCTCTGTGCTTAGTGATTTTTCTTCCTCATTACATTTCATAGTGAGATCCTGCAGCTCCGAGAAGAAGACAATGAGCACAAGGAGAAATAGAGGATAACCATCTTAAAGGAAAAAGAGGTACTTCCAGGAGCTGCCATAGGAGCACTGCAGAGGAAAAAGACCTACAATTCATTACACAACACAGTTCACACATTTAAAGAAAAACAAATCTGAAAAAACAGAATTTAGAAAATCCCAGAATTATTTACCTTGCCTAACATTTCTGTCACCACAGAAGAAAAAGCACAGCACATTGTGCTGCCACAGAAAGCCTCAGGCATTGCTGTCAGTGTGGCACAGAAGAACATGTTCTTCTCTAGTGTGATTCTGATCCCAGGGATGACTCTGGGTAGCTGATGATCTTCTGAGGCCTTGCTTTATGCTGATGAGCAACCACAATGCTACCCTTTTCAAAGCATTTTAGTTAAGAGCTAAGAGAATATGCCCTTAATAACATACACTTTTAAATATGCATTTTGGAACCAAACTGCAGTGAGCAGCCCTGACCCGACACAAGACTCAATTTTCAAAAACCTTTATTCTCACTAAAGAAAACTAAGCCTTCTTCATCAGTAAGCACCCTTTGCTCATAACAACAGTGCTCCCAGTCCATCATATTTGTGAAAGCTCCCCTTCCTATAATCACAGGATGTCCCATGACAGCGAAACCCATGAGACTAAATCACCCTAATTTCAGGAGAGGGCACTCTACTCCCCTCTGCATTAGGCACCATGCATTACACCTGCCTGCCACAAAGAAGATCTTTGTCTCAGAAGTGGCACAAACTCAGGTCCCAGCCATCTGCTCTCATTAAAGATCTGATGCCACTTTCCATGAGATGTTTGTGCAGCTGACCTGACTGAATTCCTCGGGGATAATTTTCTTCTGACTAAATATCAGCTTGTTTCCAATGGAGATGCTCTTTTTCTTTGCTGTCTTGCCAGAAATGTTCTGCTGAACAAGTGGGTCATGTTAAAATACTTTTTTTGTGCTTTGAATCCAGAGATAGCCATATGCCAAGGATAAATCACAGAATCACAGAATATTTGGAGTTGGAAGGGACCCACAAGGATTATTGACTCCAGCTCTTAGCCCTGAACAGCACATCCCCAAGAGTCACACCATGTACCTGAGAGCATTGTCCAAATGCTCTGTCAGGCTCTGGGCTGTGACCACTGCCCTGGGAAGCTGTTCCAGTGCCCAACCTCCTTCTGGGTGGAAAAACATTTTCTAATATCTAACCTAAAACTCCCCTGACACAACTTCAGGCCATTCCCTCAGGTCCTGTCACTGGTTCCCAGAGAGAAGAGGTCAACGCTGTCTCTCCACTTCTCCTTGTGAGGATGTTGTATACAGCGATGAGGTCTCTCCTCATCTAAACGACTCATCTCCTCTCAAATGAAATGACTCTTGTGGCACAGGAGGTTTAGATTCTGCCTAGCCAGACTGCACACTGCAGAGCCTGTCAGCTCTGCAGTACACAAGTGTGCTGTTTTATGCACATTAAGGTCCAGCAGAAGCTGGTGACTGTAGTTGAAGTCTTTTGCACCAGGTATAGTGTTTGAGGTACCTGGTTACTGGGGATCTCACATTCTCCAGACTTCTCCTACTAATCAAAGGCTACCCTTGAATCCTTCTTATTAATTTTATCAGCACAAGAATGAAGGAGATAGACAACAGCAAAACTCCTCTTCACCTTTGTTTGTAGTACAGGTATGCTTATAAACCATTTTGCATATATGACTAAAGATACAGGGGAGGACTAATGGAAAATCCAATACACAACAAAACAGGATACAACCCCAGCTGCTCTCCATAGTGAGGCCAACAAGTACTCCATATAGTTTGGTTCTCAGCTTTCACAACTCTCTGACCTCTTCTGGCTGGAAAACATCGTATGAATTTATTTCAGATTTGTTATCTTTGTCCATTAGTTACTAAATCAGTGCTTTATTTGGGGCTTACCAATCACCAAAAGACAGAGTAAGGATCAGGGCCTACAGTGACATAAGCATATAAACACACAGACACAGACCCAGCTCTGAAATCTGCTCAGGGTAGGAGTCAAGCAAACAACACCAGAGAAGCAAATTACAGAATCACCTTAAATCTACAGTGTGGTAGATGAAGTATGTTAATGAATCAACCTAGCAGTCCTGTAGAGGACTGAATAAAAAGGTGCCTATTCTGTGCAGTAGGCTATGTGGCAATTATGATATGCACAAGACGGATAAGAGAGCAAAATAATTTGGGCACTTCTCCACTAGATTTCATTGTTTCTGTTTTCTATTGCCTTCCTTCTGGATGCCTGTATGTGTACAAGCTCATTAGTACTTCTCTCAGCTCTCAGGATGTTATTATCTCTTGGCTTTCTATCAGCATTGCAGGAGCACTACAGCTGCATAGGTCTTTTGCTTAATTTAAGTTTTGGCTCCTTCCCCTGCAATGTATGTGCAAGACTGTAGTGGTTTGTGAGCCTCTGAAGGTTTCATGTCCTACACCTGCCCTTATAGAGAATTCACTGCATACAGGTGCAATGCAGCTTTCCTTTTTCACACGTTGCCATGTCTGAAGTATGTTTCAACTGAAGATGCTTTCTAGAGGAAGTTGGTATTCATTTTATTCACACTCAATCCAGTGCTGGAATGTTGCACTGAATCTTTTCCTACTTTTATGTTCAGATTACTCGGCAAAACATGAAGGATATGTCTCACATCCTTTCAATCTTCACTGCCTTAGCCCAAGCTTATATCTGAAATGTGATTTCAGACACACAGAAATCAACAGGAAGTGTGAGACTTTTGCTGGGGCTCAGGGACATGCAGGAAATTACCCTGATAGACTGCAGAGCAATAGAAAGAATGTGGATATACCACAAAAATCTACTGGTCCCTGGTGTGATTTGCAGGCAGCTGCGTTTGTCTTTACTCAGGTTTTGCCTGCCACTTTAAATCTGTCCTGATGAGACACAGAGTGCCAATATTTTTGAGAAGTTATTGATCAACCTTTGAGCAGAAATGATGACACTGTGTTAGGAATTTAAGATGTAGACTGAAAAAGCAGGCGTCAAGCATATCCCTGTGTCAGATGACCTTGTGGAGGCTCAGGATACAACCCCCTGTGTTGATAAGAAGGACAAATCCTAGCCCTTGCGGGGTGGCATTTTCTGCTCTGAACTAGCAGAGAGCCGTGAGTGATGAGACTCTCAATTCAAGAACAGCAGTAAAGTCCCTGCAGCTGGGTGGGATGAACCAGGGCCCAGGTGCCTCTGTGTGTTGTGCAGATTTCAGTCCTCAGAGTTGTAAAGACGCTGGGCACAAGTTGAAAGTTTTGCTGCCTGGCAGACCATTTCACCTCCTCCATCACAGCTGCTCTGTGTAACAAATTGGAAACCTTTTTTAACAAGATTCCAATTTGATGAAGTACAGGAGAAGTACACAGGACTGACACAGAGGTTACCAAAAGCAATCAAACGCAGCCTTGGAAGAAAGAATGCCCTGGACAGAGCTCCTCACACCAACAGCTACAATGTACCCAGTGGAATTGCCAAATGGATTTAACAGAAAAATATTAGGGAATAGCAATGGAGTAAAGGAATCTTCTGCAAGGGAAACAGCCTGGAAAAGCAAGAAATAGCCAAGTGTGTGAAAGGAGAGAAATGTTTCACAGTATACAGAGAAGAGCCAGGATGATACTAGTGCAAACAGTGACTGTGGAAGACAACCCCACTCATACTGTCTCTGTAAACCACAGACTGCACTCCCTGTTGCACCAGGAGCTGAATTTGCTAATGTGCAAAACACCCAGGTTGTTAAGAGCAAAGGCAAAGGGACAGCACATGCATGGAAATAGTGAACCACATCAGCAGCAATATCTTTCAATTCTCCCTCCAGGAGATGATGTTAAGGAGGATTTTCTGTACATGCACAGCAATCCTATAAAATCCCTATGCAAAGGTAGATTAAGATTGAATAGTAATTCATATCACCTGGCCTTTATGGAGCTATGTGAAGCTTTTATGGGGATGAAACAGGAAACATTTTCTAGAAATGACACTGAAGTATAATACAGTTTAAACAATACTGAGCCAGCTGAGCCCTTAAAACCACAAGCAACCACCAGATCTCATAAAAATAAGAAGAATGGCTATAAAATCCTGAGACTTAAAAATAACAGTATTAATATTTGCATTGTTTATACTTGTCTTATGGATTATGAGCATCTGGGCTCTACAGGAGAGAAAATATTTCATGCCTCTTCCTTATAAAACAACAGGTCAAAACCCGGCAGAGCTCTACAATACTGAAAACAATGATTTTAAGGAAAGCACCAAGAATTCTGAGATTTCTGACTCAAAAAAAAAGGCATTTAACAGAAGAGAGAGCCTTTTACTTGAGGTGTGTCATAAAATTGGGTGGCAAAAATAGAATCTCTGTTAAATTTTATTAGGCAGTTCCATCAACTCAGTATATCAGAATTTGCTGTTAAAAGTCTACATGGCAGGAAAAGAGTGCACAACCTAAAAGCACAAATCAACCAGGAGATTAACTGAAACTGCAGCAGCATCCCCTTTTTATTCCTGTAAAAAGCGAGCTACCCAGAAATAAAAAACATTTAAGCTCTAGCACAAAGATCTGTACTGCATCAAGGTCAGGAGTCTGGGGTTCATTTTCCAGCAAACAGGGAACAAGTCTTGACACCTATTAGGACAGTTTGTCTACTGAGGTTTCGTTGGCAAATATAAAAGTTATGCAATAAGAATAACAGCAGAGGAGGTAACAATATGGAGGACTTTTGCTCACTGCCACTGTTTGCCAAGTCAGCCCATATTTTAACCCAAGTGTTTGCTTGGAGTGTGCTGTGCAGTACCAAGTGCAGTTCCTTTGCTCTCTTTTGAGGGGTTACACCAGAGAAGCTCAGTGAGCCTTGAGCATTACTCCGTAACACAAACCAGTTTGATTTCTTCTAACAGCTACATTAATATATTCTCACACTAAAAACTAATGTTATTCCAGTTCACCCCATACCAATTACCCTAAATCAGCGCTCAGGGTTTCAGGAGTCACCAGCTCTGATTCTGTATCAGATTCTGCCTTCAAACCCCGTGTCATTCCAGAGTCTCTTTCTGAATCAGCATTCATATCTGACCGCCAGGCAGCTGAACCAACACTAAAGCTGTGCCTCTCACTACTTGTCCAGCCACCACTTCCCAACATCACCACAACAGCAGCTATTTTCTTACTGATGGCAACTGCTTACCTGAGTTTTGTGGGTGTTCACCAGAGACGGTGCAGCAGCCACCATGGAGCTGCTGCGAGGCCTTGGCAAAGGGGTGATCTCTGGCTCGGGTGGTTTCTCTGGCTTTTCCTGTAGCATATGCCTCAGCCTCTGCAAGTAGTACATCAGTGACCACTGTGTGCCCTCCTCGGACCAGTGTGGCTGCAGCAGGCAGCGCAGCACTGCCACATCGAAATACGTGGCATAGCGAGACTTCTGGCAAGGTGGGATCACCAAGGACACCCTGTTCCAAAAAACAGGAGTAGAACTATTAGTCATCAGGCTCCTTAGGCCTTCTTAGATACACAGCAATCTGAATAAAGAAGTGACTCTTTGGGACTAAGGCCCTGACTGAGCAAAGCGTAACTGAAGACATGTAAGTGGATATTTAGCTTTCAGCTCCCAGGGGACTCCAGTACATGCTTTGTTAAGTGTTTTCTTTGATAGGGTTGCTTTCTTAAACTGTGATCTGAAGATAAGCCTCCAGCACCTGTTTGAACTGAATAATTTGT